GAGGTGTGCCATGAAGATATATTGCCGCGACCCCCAAAGACTATCGAGTGCGTTAAGACTGTCAGACAAAGATGTGTTTTCGTAAAAACGCAGTGCATCAAAATGCCTTTGACCTTCTGCGTCAATATGTTGTCTCAGGAGTTTGACAGATTGGGTTTAGGTAAGATTAATGGGAGGATTTGTTAGTGAGAATAGTTCAAGGTAATCGCAGAAGGTTCCCTTCCAGCGAGTCCAAAGCGTTAAAGTTGACTCAAAAAATGCATCCTACCAAAACGGGTCAGGAGGAGTAAGTTGGCTCATGACAAAAGTATCTAAAATCGATCTCCGTCGCCAGTGTTACAACTAGACCGGTACTAAAGCACGACTCTTAGTAGAACGCAGTATTCGGTCTGTAGCGCACGACAGCAGAACACGTCAGTTTCAGCAGTACACAGTAGATAGTATGTCTCGCCATAAACACAACGCTTCGCATAAGTTAAGACAGTCTAATCAATAGTTAGCTTGGCATCAAGGGACACCCACGCTGACACTGGTGGATCCAGCCAATAGGAACACAGGTTAATCGATGACTAGCTTGGCGTTGGACTGAAACAATGCCTTGGTGAGAGTGAGCAGACAGGTTGTCACGTCAAGATGAAATCAGAGAACAGAGCGTATAGTAATACAGTTATTCATGTAAACGGCAAGTACCACGGTACACCAAAAAGGGAGCGCAAGGCATTCGAAGTCACATGCACACAGAATCAAGTTACCAATCAATGGTTACGGCAGACGGCCAATAGCCGTAGTACACACACAAACGCACGAACGCGGTGAACGTCTAGCCAGGCGTGTCACCTCTCCTCTCCGAGGTTTGAGCTATCCGGCCTGAAATCAATTCAGGCGCGTAGACCGCCGTAGAGACATTTGGATCGGTGGTACAGCATCGGCCACTTGTGAATCGATCAGCTCCGTGTCTGGATTTCTGGCTCGCCGGTTGTTGCTAAGGTCGACGGTCTCGGTCGCACGTAATCTAAGCGCCGTCTGACAATCATGCCATCAGCTGTTGCTTCAATGATTTGCCCCTTGGCAGTTTCAACAATGGCCAGTTGCCACCCGGAACCTGTAGGTAAACGGACATAGATGGGATCAGATTCTTCTACGAGACTGTCGTTGCTACCGGTGTCAGAGCGTTGCTTTGAGCGTCCTTGTTTTTCGCAAACCTTCAAACCACGGATACCGTGCAATGAATCCAACTGAGTACGCAAACGACGACCGAACATTAATTCCGCAGGGCTTCTACCGGTGGTTTCGTGTGCCATGATTCTATAAGCGAAAAGGGCACGGTCTAAACGCACACGTAGTGGGGCTGCGGGCTGCTTCAGTAACATATTTTTCACTGTCTACATAGCTTTATCAGCCAAACCGTTTGGTGATGGATGATAAGGCGCAGTAGTTACGTGTATGATGCCATTCGAGGTAAGGGATGCAGAAATTTCGGCACTAGTGAATGCTATTCCCTTATCTGACACTAGTGTTTCCGGAAGACTGAAGGTTGCCAATGTCGTACGCAGTTTAACTATTGTGTTACCTGAATTTGCTGTAGTCAGGACGTGGGCATCAAGCCACTTGGAATGGGCATCAATGATGAACAAGATCAGTTGACCTCCGAAGAGGCCAAAAAAGTCGACGTGAATACGATTCCAAGGCTGCATTGTCACATGGGGTACAGCATTCCGATTTTCCTGACAAATCACGCAACCTCCAACTTTCGACGCAATGTCCCTGTCTGAATCAGCCCACCACACATGAAAACGGGCTAGTGACTTCACTTTAGCGACTCAAGGGTGTGCATCATGCAGTTCGTCCAGGATAACTGATTGCAGCTTTTTGGGGACTACAATCCGGGCTCCCAACAGTACACATCCGTAATGGAGACTGAGTTCGGTCAATCGGTTACGAGAAGGCATGAGTTCCTTGGTCTTATTTTCTGGCCACCCGACCTGAACGTAGCGTTTCATGAGTGTTAAAGTAGGGTCTCTATCGGTTTCTCGGCGTATGTCTGTTGTGATAACGAGAGTTGTTAGGGTGCTGGATCAAATTCATGAGTTTTATGTGGGGCAAAGGTACTTCCGGCAAGGAAAGCCGACTGAGGGCATCAGCAGTTGTATGTTGCCGGCCAGGAACGTATTGAATTTGATATGTATTTGCAGAGAGAAGCAAGGCCCAACTGATCATTCTGTGTGAAGCCATTTGCTGAATCCCTTGTTCACGGCCCAAAAGTGATACAAGAGGTTCATGATCTGTGTAAATCACAAAAGGTCGACCGAGTAGATATTGATGAAACCGAATAGTACCAAAAATAACCGCGGCTACCTTTCTATCAAGCTGAGAGTAATTACGTTCTGCTGCCGTCAAGGTTCGTGAAGCACAAGCAATAGGTCGACGAGAGAAGTCCGATAGTTTATGCAATGATACAGCTCCAAGACCGGAGGGTGAAGCACCACAACAAAGAACAATGGGCTTCCGTGCGTCGTAATGCACAAGAATTTCGGCGGATGCCAAAAGTTTCTTAATAGCGTTAAAAGCACTTTCCAGAACTCTGTTTCAATTCCAAGGTTGGCATTTGCGTAGTTGATGAAGCGGGTGCAAATGGGCGGCCGCTAACGGCATGAATCGGGAAAACTGCGTGACCGCTCCCAGAAACGACCGAAACACGCCCACGATTTTGCGTGCCGGTGCATTAAGTAGCGCTTTAGTCTTCTCTGCTGAAGGGCGTAACCCATCTCGTGACAAATGGTATCCAAAGCAAGGCACAGTTGGAACAAAGAATTCACTTCTCTTTTTTTAAACAAGCCCAGAATCTGACAATCTTTGCAGACCTACATCTAAGGTGTATAGGTGTTTATCAGCGGTTCGTCCAGTGAGCAAGAGGTCATCCAAGTAAGCACATGCTTTGGTATGTCTTTCACCAACGAGTCAATAATATGTTGGAAGACAGCTGGCACAGAGCTTACTCCAAAAGGCATGCGAACGTAACGAAAGTACCCAAGGTGTATGTTGATGGTGGTGTAGGCACATGACTCCTCGTCGAGCGTGGCTGAAGTCTAGATTAGTAAAAAGTTCACCGCATGAGAGGGAAGCATAGATGTCTTCAGTATTTGGCAGTGGGTATCGGTCCCGTAAACTTGTAGTCCTCACAGATCCTTATGGTGCCATCGCTCTTCAATACAGGCACTATAGGAACAGCCTAATCGGAATACTGAACGGGTTCAATAGGGCCTTCTTGCTGTAGTCAGTGAAGCTCATTCTCAACTTTGTCCCGAAGAGCATAGGGTACGGTACGTGTCTTTCAGAATCGCGGTGCTGTCTGTGGTTTCAGTGTCAAATGTGTCACGTAATTTTTCAAAAACGCTGGTTTAGTTTGGTCAAACAAAGCTGTATATTTTTGCAAAATTCCGGAGAGCTGCAGACGAACTTCCACAATGTTGACGTTTGACATAATTCCAGGAAGACGTTTAAATCCATCGCGACCAAATATGTTAGGGCCGGGTCCCCCAGTGACGTACACTCGGATGTTAACCGTCGAGTTGCCGTAGGATATGCGTGCAATAAAAGTACCCAATACATTCACTATTTGTCCAGTGTGAGATCATAGTTGTGTTGTAGGATGATCTAACTTTGGCAGTTGCGATAAGGCACCAGATCGTATCAACTTAACTGCTGCGCCGATAACAATTTCGAAACCTACAGGTTGCTCGTTAAGTAGGATAGACAGGACAAATTGTTTCTGCGCGGTGATATTGTGATTAAAAACGATTGTGGTGTTTACCCAATTCTGGTTTAAGTCCTCGGTGATCTGATTTGTAGTTTTAAGGTATCCATGCGCCACGGAATTTCGTTTTGAAAGGCACATTTTCTGGATGTGCCCTCTTCCCACAAAATCTGCATATCGAATGAAGATGCTGACAATAAGCCGGTGATGAATGCTGTTCACCACAGCGACAACAACGGAATTCTCTGCGTTGTACGGAGTGAGATAATGTGTTACCAGGTTTAGTCTGAGAGGCTTTATGTACATCTTGCGAAATGGCGAGGAGAATGCTGTTAGTTCCTGAACGAAACTGTCACCCTGTCGAACTAAATCACAGGCTCTTTCCCAAGTCAAGGTTTTTTCGTCTTCCGATAACAGACGCTCTCGTGCCTTCTCGTCAAGAACACCAACAATTAATGTCTGTAAAAGCACAGCATCTTCAAATTGGGCTGGCTTGATCTGGTTATAGGCACAGTAAGGAAGAATAGTTGAGAGTCGGGAAATAAACTCATTTACAATTTCATTTTGCTACTGCCGCTTGGTATCAAATTTGTAACGTGCTGTAAACACATGTGGTTTTTCACCCCACAGGCGATCAAGAATGGAAAACAGCTGGTAAGTTTTGTTTCACGTGTAGCTGCAGGCTATCGAAATGTCGCTGCCGCTCCTTGCCTAAGAGGTGACGCAGTAATTTGATTTTTGATGTATCATCCATCGTATTGTTACCACCAAGCAGAAAAAGTAGATCCACGTAATTAGTGAAGGTAGTTTTACACTGCAGCCATTGTTGTGTACTAGGCCTTTCGTGGAAGAATTTCAAAACGGCTGAGGTGAGGTAATTCAATTCGCCTTTAGTGATCGCAACAACCTCGGTCGCTAGTTTGTTTCGCCAAGACGAAAACAAAAATACAGAGCTGTGGAGTAATACGGTTATTTACGTAAACGGCAAGTACCACGGCACACCAAAAAAGGAGCGTAAGACATTGGAAGTCACAAGCACACAGAATCAAGTTAACAATCAATGGTTATGCCAGAGGGCCAATAGCCGTAGTTCACACACACAAACGTACGCACGCGGTGAGCGTCAGGCCAGGCGTATCACAAGCGAACACAGGTCGCGCAAATGCCACAAGGAAGTGGATGAATTCCATGTGCAAAAGAGAACCGCTGCGAGAGACGCAAACTTCGCAGGGACGTCCAGACTCACCTTCGACCGCGTCTGCCGACTGCTGGCATCAGGAGAGCTGCGCACACGTGTGGAAGACCGCCGTTTTCGCATAGGCTCTGTTTCAATTTCGTCGTCATCGCGTAAATACAAGCGACGAAATCTCGGCGTTGGTTTTTGCGCTGATTGCAAAGGAGAGCGAGCGGGTGTTTTCCGACCAAATTTAGGTCCGCTGTAGAAAAGTGAGAAAGCAATGAGTCGGAATGCCTAATCAGAGAGGAACGAGAACATAGAACGGGAAACCCGATAAGTCTAGACGTAACAACAGTGTGTGTCTACGAAAGACTATAACTCACGTCGGAACAATATCCCCCTTCTCATGCGCACCTATTGAGGAAGTCAGCACAGTAGAAATTCGAGTCGGATCAACATTTTCCACACCAACGGCACTGGGATACCGTGAGTTCGGCCCATTCGTAAGCAGAGGTGGTTTCGGTTGCGGGAATGAAGTTGGCACAGGTTGGTTGCGCGAGCTCTCCTGTAGTGGCTGCTGCTTTTTCGCTAATTCTTTTTGCCGTAATTCATCCAGGGTGGGTGGAAGAATAGAGATATTTGCAGTTTGATTGGCGGACAGGTCGAAAACGCTCTAAAACGAAATGTAAACACAGTCAGGAAATCAGGTGTTGGTACACGGATGGATGAGTAAATAAACCTCTGACTAAAGTATCATATGAGGATAATGCTGAAAGCAGTCAACCAAACAACAGTGAAGGTGCGTAACACAGGAACAGAGTACCTTTCGTGGATCACATCGCGCGACACTTGCCTGGAAGTGAACAACTGTCCACACAAATAAAAGAGGGATGGGGACTGCATGGTCGCCGATGATACGCTAGAAGTGGTGGCTGACTTATCTGGTAGATGTCTTACGCAATTCCTTTTCGAGCCAATTCGTAGCAAAGTTGAAGTACTGAACATCTTGGAGAGTGGGCTACTTCGTCACGAGTTGTAACGGAAGTATTAAACACTTGGCCAAATAAACGATCGGCAGAGTGCCACAACACATGCGTACCAATAACAAAAATAGAGGAAAAGAAGCAGTCAGGGGAAGGGTTAACTGGGTTTATGTGTTGTGTGGGCAGACACCATCCCGCTTACTCGGGCTGAGGAAGCGGGTTGACTTAAGAGACCCCACCCCGAACCTTTGATCTTGAAGACCTGACCCACAAAGCACCACAGAGATCGATGAATAGAAAGGCCGTTGACAGCCAGGTGACTCATGTCTTCTTAGTGTTCGGAAGTAGTCTTCACAGAAGCCGGTGACTAACAAGGTTGTTCATCCGCCCTCCGTTAGGCACTCACTTCCAGTTACAGGAGTGGTCAGTGACCCTATAGCCGGTCACATTGGCTTCGACACAGCGCCGTATGAGCTCTTGTGGTATTTGATGGAGAACCAGGTGACCAGCCCAGAATTCCTCACGATCTGAGACGCTACCGCTGATATCCCGCGACTGCCTATTTATCTCGCCTGCAAAGCAAAGGAGACTTATTCGCAGTTACTACCAAAAGGAAGGCATCTGCAGCGGATAAATTACCATGATGATAATCAAGACGGCAGGTCCGTTCGTTATTATTACCAACGGACTTGTGAGAAAACTTTTCGGGGGTCAAACTACTAAGGAGCCGGTGATGTCAAGCCCAGCTGAGTCTACGTGTTCACCAAGACGCCAGAGCAGCAGAAGTCAAACGTACTTGACATACGGAGGCGGAAGACTACAGCCAAAATAGCAGCGTGACGGTATATGTTTGGCTTATAAATATGACCATGAATAATAACAATAATAATAAATCGCTCTCTGATCAGCCAACGGAACAATGACGCTTAGCCGTTTGGTTATCACCTGAGCCGAGTATATTATATGTCGAGCTTTTATGTCATATTTTTCACATTTTTACTTTACCGAGCAGCTAAGCCATGAGCTATCGATTAGACTATTGAAATAACCCAGTTGTCAATTTCTCAGCCCAATTGGACGATAACATCCTCTACTATCTGGCATGTAAACTTTTGGGTCCGATGAGTTTACTCGAAAAGAATTCTTAACCCATTACTCATCTGGTCCTAACTAAGAAGACAAGAGCGACGAAGCTACTATCCCTGGCACCACCTTAATAACTAAGAGTTTTAGGTGATTCAGGTGTAAAATATCTCGCGATGCCCGAAAGAGACAATGTGCACGTTCACTATAGTTCTATATTACGTCAAGTACGCCGGAGACTGTCTATAACCACGTGCCAGATCAGGTGGATTGTTGTGGTTCCGGATATCGCTAACTTGGAACAAGTCACCAGAAAATCCGTGAATAGCCTGCGAACATTACAAACGAATATGCTTGAGTGCGTTTGAGACAGATAAATGGTCAGAAAGTCTCCGGCCATAAGAATGGCGCTGACATCATGAAGGCTAAAGAGATGATACGCGCTATTCCGATCAGGGACGAAACCTAGTAGTTCTCCCGTTTCAAAGTTGACGCACCCATAGATGCGACGGATGTCTGGTGCTGCCGCTTCTACATTAGAATCGCACAAAGGTGTCGTAAACTGCTCTATGTCATACTGTCGTAAACACTCCCAGTCGCAACACTGATCGCTCTCTGCACACTGCATACTATCTGATGCCGCGCCCAACACAGCCGGTGAAAATCAGGAGAGACAACATGGCTGACAGAGAGCGATTTATCAAAAGTATTTATGGTCATATTTATAAGTCAAACATATGCCGTCACACTGGCATTTTGGCTGTAAGATTCCGCCTCCGTATGCCAAGTACGTTTGATGTCACCTGCTAGGGCGTCCTGGCAAACACGTAGACGCAGCTGGGCTTGACATCTCCGGCTCCTTAGTAGTTTGACCCCCGAAAATTTTTCTCAAATGTCGCCGCTCAGAAATCTTGACACGGCTCACACGGGGCCTACGCGTAAGACTGGGTATTCGATTCGACCACCAACGCGAACGAGACTTCACTGAGCTAGCCGACTTGTTCGCAGACCTAACGAACCCTTGCTTTGCGCCGGAAAATTGCATCCAGGCATTTGGCCGTTTTGCCTCTCCA